TCACATAAGTGACTCCGTTTTTTGTTTTTTGTTTTTTTTTTGTCATGGGTCTTAAACTCTGGGCCTGGGCGCTGTCCCTTACCTCTTCAGCTCAAGGCAAGTGGTCTACCACTTGAGCCACAGTGCCACTTCCAGTTTTCTGGTGGTTTATTGGAGATCAGAGTCTCACAGACTTTTCCTGCGCTCGCTGGCTTTGAAACGCAATCCTCAGATCTCAGCCACCTTAGTGGCTTAGTGACTCCATTTTTGTACCATTTTAAGAAGCAAAGAGGTTAAAACCTGTAGGGACAAAAGCTGAAAAACACTCTCACTTTCTTAAATTATGACTTATATTACATCTATACAATGATAAATCAGTATTTTAGCCCAATTTGTGCAACTGATGCTGTTGAGTATATTTCTTTTTACTTAGCATAAGATGACTAAAGACAATATTGGGTCAGGTCTATGTCATGTAATCTCTTTCTCTGCCATACTTTTCTCTAATGCCTTTTTTTGTTTTAAGATGAATTTTTGTTTTATTCTAGATTTACCATCTTATCACTTCAAAAAAAGTATTGTTGGAAAAATTTAAAATTCCATATGTTTCACTTATTTCTCTTGGTTCACATTCTCTGTTGCTTTGAAAAACAATTATATTGATGGCCCTGGTGGAACAAAAAACAAGATTTTTTTTTTTAAAGTTTACTCTTTGGAACAATAGTACTCAGGGGGCCTGATTTGTCAGTTTTTCTCCCTTTTGAGAAATCTGGCATAGGAAAATGAGAATATATAAATCTATAGGATTGGGGTATTTGTTGGTGTAGACTTTAATGTTTTCTGTACAAACAAATTTTACAGTACAAGCCAGATCTATAACTGATGGGAAAATATTTTGTATTCTAGTTTGTATCTAATTTACTTCTGAAATAGCCAAAAGGAAATAAAGATTTTTAGAGGCTTAACAAAAGAAAAATGTTATTAGATCTTTATGGTATCTTTCTAAAGAAGATACTCTTCTTGCAAAGTTTTAGCTTTTGGTTTATGTTTTTGTCTTTTAGAAGATGCCAGTGCCCAACAGAAGGTCATTTTCTCTGAAGAAGGTATTTTCATTTTAACTATCAGACAATATATTTTAAGTCTTTTTCTTTTCATTGAAGCAGTTTTGGCAGGTAAATGTTATCTTTTTTTCTGAAAAGAGATATACATATCTTGTTACAGTAAGTCAGAATAAAATTGGATACAAAGCGTAATAGGGGCCATTGTGTACGTTTCAAACATCTTTTTGTTTATTTGAGTTAATCTTAAGCAAGGCTAATATTTTTTGCTTGTGACATGTACTGGCCTTTAATAATGGCATTAAAATAACTGCTTTTCCACCTTTTCATAACTAGTCTACATTTGTACAGATGGAAAGTTAGTTTATTTTTAAAACAACATGATCTGAGATTAGTCACTTATACAGAAATGTCTGTGTGGACACACAGAGACACATACTTTTATACTAATTGTATCTAACTTTAATTGCACAGAATATGTAGTTTACAACCCATAAAGGAAAGTTTCTCACTGTTGAATATGCTTTTCATTTTTTACTCTATATTAAAGCCTTGGAATACAATATTTTACATATTCTGAATATTTGTTTAGAAAGTAATTATATGCCTTGGAGAGCACCAAATAAATGAATTCAATTATGATACATTTAGTTGGGTTTTTTTTTGTTTTTTTTTTTTGGGTCCGGTCATGGGCCTGAACTCTGGGCTTGAGCACTGTCCCTAAGCTCTTCAGCTCAAGGCTAGTGCTCTACCACTTGAGCCACATCGCCACTTCTGGCTTTTTTCTTTTTGCTTATGTGGTGCTGAGGAATCAAACTCAGGGCCTCGAGCATGCAAGGCAAGTGCTCTACCACTGAGCCACCTTCCCAGCCCTATGATACATTTAGAACTATGTGATTCAAACTAGTAAGCAATAATGCATAGCAATTCTATATTAATAATTTGAGAGCCTTCATTTTAATGTTGGGTTATTTGTTTAATATGGATCTTTTGAGCATTGGAATAAACACACTAGTATCTTGTTTACTTCCTTTTAGGAGAAACTGAAGATGATGACCAAGACAGCTCTAACAGTGATGCCACTACTTCAAAGGTCAGATCCAGGGATTCGATTGAGTCTAGAGGTAACATTACTTTATGTATATATGACTTTTTATAGACTTATCATTTTAGTTAAAATGTAAAAATATCCTTGGGCTTTCTTTTTAAAAAATTACCTTCAGCCAGGCACTGATGGCTCATGTCTATAATTCTAACTACTCAAGAGGCTGAGATCTGAAAATCACAGTCCGACCAGCCTAGACAAGAAAGCCTATGACTCTTATCTCCAATTGACCCACCAGAAAACCAGAAGTGGAGCTGTGGCTCTAAGTGGTAGAGCACTAGCCTTGAGCAGAAAATCTTAGAGACAGTGCCAAGGCCCTAAGTTCAAGCCCCACAACTGACAAAAAAAAGTTACCTTCAAAATTAAAATGTTGATGGGCACCAGTGGCTCACACCTGTAATCCTAGCTACTCAGGAGGCTGAGATCTGAGGATTGCAATTCAAAGCCAGCCCGGGCATGAAAATCCATGAACTCTCATCTCCAATTAACCACCAGAAAACCAGAAGTGGTGCTGTGGCTCAAGCAGTAGAGTGCTCGCCTTGAGCTGAAGAGCGCAGGGGACAGCACCCAGGCCCAGAGTTCAAGCCCCAGGACCAATCAAAAAAATTAAAATGTTTTATGTTATATACTTTTAATATTTATTAAAATTGCTGCTTTCTGTGATGTATAATTATATATTGCCACAATAGCTAGAAAAATTACTTTAAATCTGTTCAACCATTTATGGAAAGTAGAATATTTTTGTTCTTAGAAGAGTTATTTGTTGTTTTTAATTTATAGAGAAACTGATCATATTGGCATTAGTCACAACTATCAGCCATGATATTTAGTTTTGGGGATTTTTAGTACTCTTTAATTTTCTCTGGATTAGTAAAATTCATAATTTTATATGTGGACTTATCTTTAAACTTATTCAGTTGAAAGTGTTCACTGAATAGAGGCAAAAATACTCATTTAAAACTTAGAATTCTAGATGAGCCATACAGCATGGCTTAAGCTTATAATCCTAGCTACTTGGGATGCAGAGATCAGGAATGAAAGCTTGAGGACAGCTAGCTCTTCTCTCAATCAAGACTTGCCATCTCAGCAAGGGGAAATAGAATGGCTAAGTGCAGTGGCAACCACCTGTCCAATCACCCAGGGAAACATAAATAGGAGGGTAACCACCCAGGCTGGCTTAGACATAAACTAAAACCCTATCTCAGAAATAACCAATCTCCCTAAAAAAACTGATGGAGTGGCTCAAGTGGTAGAACACCTCCCTAGCCTGTGGTGTTCTGTCACTTGAGCTACATCTTCACTTTTTGCTTTTATCATTTTTTTTCTTTTTTTTTTTTTTTTTTTTTGGGTCCGGTCATGGGCCTTGAACTCTGGCGCTGTCCCTTAGCTCTTCAGCTCAAGGCTAGTACTCTACCACTTGAGCCACAGCACCACTAGCAGCTTTTTTCTTTTTGCTTATGTGGTGCTGAGGAATTGAACCCAGGGCCTCATGCATGCAAGGCAAGCGCTCTACCACTGAGCCACCTTCCCAGCCCCGCTTTTATCATTTTTCAAACAAAGTCTTGCTCTCTGTCCAGGCCAGCTTGTGTTAATATCCCTTCTATGTACACTTTCTACATACCTGAGATGGCAGGTGTGCGTTGAGGTGGGATCTCTCAAACTTTTTGTCTGAGCTAGCCATGAATAGTGACCCTCCCAATTTTTGCCTTCAGAGTAGCTAAGATTACAAGTGTGAGCCACCATACCAGCCAGAGAGTTGGTTTTTGAAACAGTTTTCACTATGCTGCCCAGTCTGGCCTTCCTGCATCATCCCACCTAGCTTCCAGTCTTTGATGACAGGGAAATCTAAAAGGAGATAGGTAACTACTCCAGCATAGTGGTTCATACCTCAACACAACCTCTAGAGTCAGAAACCCCCAATTTTCTCTCTCAACTTATAAGATATATGCCCTCAGATAGCTGTGTAACTTCTGTTTTCCTTGGTCATCTGAGTTATTTTGAGGATTAACTTAATTCATGTATACAGAGAACTCAGAGAGTACCTGGTGCATAGTAAACATTCAAATTAAGTGCTATTACTAATGCTATATATATATATAAAACTCTAAAACTTAGACACTAAGCCATTCTTGTGACCATTCACTACTATTGCTAACAACCATAAAGCTATGTGGAACTACATAAAGTTTAGGTCTTGGGATCTCTTTTCTATAATAAGTACCAGTGACATATTGAAGTCTACATTCCCACATGAAGAAGAAAATCTAAGATGAAGAACCGAGTGTTGAGGCATATTTGGGAAAATCCTGGTCTTCCAAGGCTATTTTCTGGACCACTCATTGCCAAAAAAGTGCAGAAGATCCATTGTTTGATTCAGGAAGAAAATACTGCACTAAAGAAAATATTTCATTTTGGGGCTGGGAAAGTGGCTCCGTGGTAGAGTGCTTGCCTTGCATGCCTGAGGCCCTGGGTTCGATTCCTCAGCACCACATAAGCAAAAAGAAAAAAGCCGGACGTGGCGCTGTGGCTCAAGTGATAGAGTGCTAGCCTTGAGCTGAAGAGCTGAGGGACAGTGCCTAGGCCCAGAGTTCAGGCCCCACGACCGGACCCCCCAAAAAAAAATTCATTTAAAGTGTCTGTTTTTGTTCTACAATATACACAACACATTACCTAATATATAGTGTTAAAGTGGCAATTAGCCATCACACTTTTGTGTTAAATGCTTCTGTTTGTAAAGTAACAATCTAACCACATTGAAATAAATAAGTTGCACATTTATATGAAAAAATATGCTTCTACGAAGAGTAGACTAAAATACATAAGGTATTTCCCACTTACAAATTATTAATGCAAAATAGATGTTAATAATTTTAAGCTGGGCACTGATGGCTCACATGTGTACTCCTAGCTGCTCAGGATGCTGAGATCTAAAAATGTGGTTGAAAGTCAGCCCAGCAGAAAAGTCCAGGAGATTATCTCCAATTACCTACCCCAAAAAAACTGGAAATAAAGCTGTGGTTCAAGTGGTGGTAGAGTGCTTATGTTGAGCCCAAAAACCCAGGGACAGTACCCAGGCTCTGAGTTCAAGCCCCAGGAGTAGCACAAAAATAAGTAAATAAATAATTTTAAGAAGACCCATTATTGTAAACGTGTGATTTTTTTCATCCCAAAGGTTTAATTATTTCTATGCTATGTTATATATCTTGACTTTTGTTTTTCTTTACCTGGAAGTTAGTGAAAAGGCATAATTACGTGTTTTTTTTTGTTGTTTGTGGAGATCCTCTGCCACCTGAGCCACACCCCAGACCTGCTTTTTACTAGTGATTTTGGAGATGTTATTTCAAGATTCCTGCCCAGGCTGGCCTTCAGTCTTGATCCTTTGGATCTCAGCCTCCTTAGAAGCTAGAATTACAGGCATGAGCCCCCAGAGACCAGCTCTATAATTAGCTAATTTTTTAGATAAAATATAATTCTTTAAAAACTTTTAAAAAGTATTTACTTGAGGGCTGGGAAGTTGGCTCAGTAGTAAAGTGCTTGCCTAGCATGCATCATCACCACATAAACAGAAAAAGCTGGAAATGGCGCTGTGGCTCAAGTGGTAGAGTGCTAGCCTTGAGCTGAAGAACTGAGGGAGGGACAGTCCCCAGGCCCAGAGTTAAAGCCACGCGACGACAAAAAAAAAAATTGAGTGTTGACCTCCCTGTGGTTCATTTTTGCTCTTTTGATTATTTCATTTTTACTTGTAAGATAGGCACTTAAATATGTCTTATACTTTTCCATTTATTTTCTTAGTTCAAACCAGGTCATCAGATCAATATGCAGAATCATTTTGGAGGTTATCACAAAGTAAGTGTAAGTCACCTGTGGCATAGTCAGCACTATTAATTTTTAAGATCTTTTACAGTTTAATATAAATAAAAAAGAGGTCTAGTAAATGCTAAAAAATGAAGTAAAACAAATGCTACCCAATATCTAACTCATGATTTCACTTCTTGAGTTATTATTCTCTATGCCCAAACTTTATTTTTGTTATTTTATGTTTTTGGGGTTTTTTTTGTTTTTTGGGGGGGTCCAGTTGTGGGGCCTGAACTCTGGGCCTGGGCACTGTCCCTCAGCTCTTCAGCTCAAGGCTAGCGCTCTACCACTTGAGCCACAGCACCACTTCTGGCTTTTTTCTTTTTGCTTATGTGGTGCTGAGGAATCGAACCCAGGGCCTCAGGCATGCAAGGCAAGCACTCTACCACTGAGCCACCTTCGCAGCCCTGTTATTTTATATATATATATTTTTTTGGGGGGGGGGTCAATTGTGAGGCTTGAACTCAGGACCTACGTACTATCCCTGAGCTTTTTTGCTCAAGTCAAGCACTCTACCACTTTGAGCCACAGCTCCACTTCATTTTCAAGTGGGTTAATTGGAGATCAGAATCTGGCTTCAAACCATAATCTTCACTTACACACACAAACTACATATATAAATCAGATATTAAAAAAATACTTAGTATTTTATGAAAGAATATATAAAAATGTGTGTGTGCTATTTTTGCTCAAGTTCATTTCACAATAAAAAATTAGGAAGTGTCCATTTGTCTTAGGTACATGCCATTCTTAGTCAATATTTTGTTTCTAGTAGGTTAACAGATAGATATTCCTGAATTAATTGTAATGTCATTTTTTAAATTATCCCCTTGCATTATCTTAGAGTTATCCTTAAATACCACTTCAGAACTTAAAGTAGCATTGTTACTTTGCATATATCATATGGACTATTCTGTACTTTATATGATATATCATTTGGGGCTGCCTGGATTTGTATCTCAGTACTTTCAGAGAAGTAATTTGGGAAAAATTAACAATATGTTTACCTTTAATTATAAAATAGGGAAAATAGGATCTACAACATTTAGTGTGAATATTGAATATCCTTAGCCTGTTTTTGTTTTGTTACACTTTATGGGGGCTTTTTGTTGTTTTCCATTTTTTGTTTTGCCTAGGGCTCAAATGTAATGTCTCACACATGCTAAGAAAGCAGGTATTCTGCCATTATTATATCCTTCATCTATAATTTTTCATTGTGCTGGTAATGATCTTAATGCTGAATACTTGTCATTGTCTAATTTCTGGATATTTTTAGTAAAGGGGAAAAATATATTAACTATATTGTATATTTGTGGCTGGTCAGAAGAAGGTTTGATTTTATTTATAGTGTCTGTGGTAAGCAAAATGTCTTTACAACATCTTTTTTGTTTTCATTTTCAAATGATCTGTGATCTCCCTTTTCTGTTTCAGGTCAAGACTTTACAACTCTTGATAAACAACCTTCAGTGTTGAGTAAGTGTTTGGTAGTCTGTTCTCTTTGTGTCAGTCAATTTAACCCTGCCTTCCAACAAAAATCTCAATATGTTTTTAAGTTCTTTTTCCCCCTTTTTTTTTTTTTCTGGACCTGGGCCTTGAACTCTGGTGCTGGGCGCTGTCCCTAAATCCTTTTGCTCAAGGCTAGCACTCTACCACTTGGGCTTCCGCATCACTTTTTCTGTGATTAATTGGAGATAAGAGTGCCATTGACTTTCCTGCTAGGGCTAGAAACCTCATTATCCTCATACCTCAGCCTTTTAAATAGTTAGGATTATAGGTATGAACCACCAATGCCTGGCTCTTTGCTTTTTTAATATCACATAGTAGTGCTGTGATGTATAATTTATTCAGGTCTGTTTTACCATAAGGAATTTACTGATAAAGGTAAATGGGTAACTTCTTAAATAATATTGAAATCTTTAGTCTTGTAGATCAAAGGACTTATAAAGTTTTTTCTGATACATTTATGTGCTAGCTGTTTTGTTATGGGAAGAGTGCATCTTTAGTGATTTTTTTCACATCCTGTGAAAAAATGTCTCTTGTAGTGCCAATGGCTCACGCCTGTAATCCTAGCTACTCAGGAGGCTGAGATCTGAGGATTGTAATTCAAAGCCAGCCTGGGCAGGAAAGTCCATAAGACTCTCATCATCTCCAATTAACCACCAGAAAACCAGAAGAGGTGCTGTAGCTCAAGTGGTAGAGCGCTCGCCTTGAGCTGAAGAGCTGAGGGACAGCACCCAGGCCCAGAGTTCAAGTCCCACCACTGACCAAAAAAAAAAAAAAAAAGTCTCTTACTTGGGAAGCTACTACTTTCTTTCTGGTCGATTTATTATGTTACTCAAGACTATGTGTATAGACTTTTCAAAAATATAAAATGATATTTATATATATATGTATTTGCTTCAGGCTCAGGATATCCAAAAAATACCCAGGAATGGAGGGAACAAACCACGAGAATGAGGAGTAGGATCCCAAGTAAGTAGTTAAATTGCTGTTACTTGCTGTGTTTTTCTTAATTTTCTAGCATATCAAAATACTTAGTATTTCAAATAAGCATTTGGGTCACTTGTGGTTTCACTAATAAAAGAGCTATGACTTCTTTCTGGTTTAGTCATTTCCATTTGCTTGGACTAGCACAGAGGACTGGTCATAGTGTATTGAAAATGGTCTGGGAAGCTGGGAAGGTGGCTCAGTGGTAGAGTGCTTGCCTTGCAATGCACAAGGCCCTAAGTTCAATCCCTCAGCACCACATAAGCAGAAAAAGCCAGAAGTGGTGCTGTGGCTCAAGTGGTAGAGCACTCTCCTTGAGCTGAAAAAGCTCAGGGACAGTGCCCATGCCCAGAGTTCAAGCCCCATGACTGACAAAAAAAAAAAAAAAGCGGTCTGGGAAAACCAATGGAAGATAGGTAATAGACTTGACAATCCTATAGCATTTCAATGAATATTTGATGATGAAATTAAATTCTTGGCAATCTTCTAACCCCAGGTTCTATCTGTCTTCCTTTCTCCAGTCCTAGCTCTTCCACTTATTAAATGAGAAAGCTTGGTAAAGTCACTTAACTCTAGTGAACATCAAATCTTTTTTTTGGGGGGGGGTCCAGTCCTGGGCCTGGGCGCTGTCCCTCACTCTTAGCTCAAGGCTAGCACTCTACCACTTGAGCCACAACGCCACTTCTGGCTTTTTTTCTTTTTGCTTATGTGGTGCTGGGGAATCGAACCCAGAGCCTCAGACATGCAAGGCAAGCGCTCTACCACTGAGCCACCTTCCCAGCCCTGAACTTCAATTTTCTTATTTTTATAAACATTAGTGCCTTTAGATTATTATAATGGTTACATAATTTTTAAGACCTATCACACATTAATATTTATGTACTCTTAACATATTGGTAAAAGTTAGTAACTATGAAGGATTCATGTTCTCTATTCTTGACTTCTATAGAGCGATTGTTGCATATTTTTCAACTTGGTCTTTTATCTTGGTGGCTTACATCTGTAATCCTAGCTACTCAGGAGGCTGAGATCTCTGAGGAGCACAATTGGAAGCCAGGCAAGACAGGAAAGTTTATAAAACTCCTGCCTCCAACTAACCACCAAAAACAAGAAGTGGTAGAGCACTAGTCTTGAGCAAAAGAGCTCCGGGACAGCACCCATGCTCTGAGTTCAAGCTCCATGACTGACAAAAAAAGATTTATTTCAATTGGATGTAGCAGCATGTGCCTGCCATCCTGGCTTCTGGGATAGGAAAGATTGTGAGTTCAAGGGCAACCTGAGTAATACGGCAAGATCTTGTCTAAAAAATACAACAGAAATATTGGTTTCAAAATTTGTTATTGGCTATACTAATTTTAATAAGAACAATAAAATTTACTTTTCCGTGCCTTTAGCAGTGGGGAGGACGGGGTGTTGTGTGCTGTTTCTGGGTCTTGAACTTGGTCTAGGCATGATCCCTGAACTTTTTTTTTTTTGCCCATCCTGGGGTTTGAACTGAGGGTCTGGGTACTGTTCCCTGAGCTTCTTTTGCTCAAGGCTAGTGCTCTACCACTTGAGCCACACGGCCACTTCCGGCTTTTTTGTGTATGTGGCACTAAGGAATAGAACCCAGGGCTTCATGCATGCTAGGCAAGCACTCTACCACTAAGCCACATTCCCAGCCCATATCCCTGAGCTTTTTTTCTTTAGGCAAGCACTCTTCTACTTGAGCCATAACTCTACTTCTAGCTCTTTTTGTTGGTTAATTGGAGAAAACAGTGTCATGGCTTCCCTGCTTGGCTGGCTTTAATCTGAAGATCTCAGAGTCTCCTGAGAGCTAGGATTATAGGCCAGGATCCGGCACCAGGGTCTTGCCTCAGCAGTGTATATGCTGTGCTAAGGGTATGTTTGTGTACCATAAATTACTTATGACTGATGATGCATAATTCATATTGACTCATCAAGTGTTGTAAAATAATACTTCATGGCATTTTCATTTTTATCATTTGTTCTTTGCAGGCATGTAATATGATAATCTGATAAGTTTGGAATTTTTTTATAGTTTAGTATTTGTTTAATAATACAGTTGCAACTTTGATGGCCTAACTTAGAAATTTCTAAATAATGAAGTATCCTAAGCAAAATTAGTAATTGAAACCCAATATGTCTCCTAGAATTAGTGTTGATGTCATTTTGTCTTATTTGGGGTTTTATCTTATGACCAAAAAAATGTAGCTATTTCTGTTTCTTGGTAATGCTAATTTTGTTCCTCCAATTTAGCCCAATGTTTCTCACATTAAAGTTGTTGATAAACACTAGGAAGGTCCACCAGCAAGATCATTTATATATACAAAAGTTACAAAACTCCAGATGGATGGCAGTACCAGTAAATGTAGGTCATACCAATGTGATCATTCGCCTTCCTTTTCCTCTCTCTTAGACATTAAAAAACCTGCATGAGAGGGAAAAAGAGAAAAGTTAGGGTAGTTTTTATTTTCTAAAGTAATAATGGATGAGTTTTGATGGACTTGGAGAAAAATACTTTAAGAATTTTACTAACCACAAACCTAAAGCACACTTACTAGACTACTACCAGAAATTGGAATCGTGGAGAGGTGGCAGTACTGGAGTTCTGGACTCAAACTCACTTGGCCTCTACTCTTTGTTTAGCTGGTACTCTACCACTTTAGCCATTCCTCCACCCCTGTTTTTTGTTTGTATGTATGTGTGTGTGTTTTGTTTTGTTTTGTTTGGGGTCTGGTCATGGGGCCTGAACTCTGGGCCTGGGCGCTGTCCATCAGCTCTTCAGCTCAAGACTAGCGCTCTACCACTTGAGCTTTTTTCTTTTTGCTTATGTGGTGCTGAGGAATTGAACCCAGGGCCTCAGGCATGCAAGGCAAGCGGTCTACCACTGAGCCACCTTCCCAGCCCGTTTTGTTGTTTTTTTTGTTTTTTGTTTTTGTCATGTGGCTTGAACTTGGGGCCTGGGTGATGTCCCTGAGCTTTTTTACTGAAGGCTAGTGCTCTGCCCCTTTGAGTCACAGCTCCACTTCTGGTTTTCTGGTGGTTAATTGGAGATAAGAGTCTCACAGACTTTCCTGCCTAGACAGGAAACTGTGAGGATCACAGGGAAGGATTACAGGCATGAGCCACCAGCATCCACCTCCAGCCCTGCTTTTTGATGGTTATTTTAGAGACAGTCTCACACTTTTTTTTTTGCTATGCTGGTTTTTTACCTTGATCCTCAGATCTCAGTCCATAAGTAGTTAGGATTACAAACACTGCCACCAGTTCCTACTTAGGAAATGCTTTCTGATATGATTTTTCAGATATTACTGATATTGGAGATGGTCAGAAAGAAGCCCCAGAAAAGTATTTGAATCAGTTTAAGGTAGAAAATACTAAGGATTATTGCAGGGCTGGGAAGGTGGCTCAGTGGTAGTAGAGTGCTTGCCTTGCATGCTCAAGGCCCTGGGTTCAATTCCTCAGCACCACATAAACAGAAAGCCGGAAGTGGCGCTGTGGCTCAAGTGGTAGAGCGCTAGCCTTGAGCTGAAGAGCTGAGGGACAGCGCCTAAGCCCAGAGTTCAGGCCCCACAACCGGACCAAAAAAATAGAAAATAAAAAAAGATTTTCATATGCAAATATCATACCCAGATAGTTTACTAATCCATAGTCCACATTGTGTTCCTTTTCTCACCTCCCTCCTCTTTACAGAATCTATAAGCATTGTTTAGATGGTGTTATTTATTGTACTAATTCCATTAAATAAGCTTCAAGGCTTTTCTCTCAACTTTGAGTATTAAATGTGTGCTTTGTATTAGATCGCTACATGATATGAATAATCATGAAAGATATAGATCTTGTGTCTCAAGGAACTTTGAGTAAAATAGACCTTTCTTCTGCTTGTAGCTGATCTCTCTGCTTTTTCTCCTAATAGAATTTCTATTTCTTTCTACATTAGAAATAAATGCTCAAATTAAGAACATAAATTGACCATCTTTTAAAATTATTTCTATCTTAGATGATAGCAGGCAGAAATCGGAGCCCAGAAATCAATCTTTACCAGCCTCTACCCAACGTAAGTTTTATCTGTTCAGTAACTGAGTTTTAAAATTTGAAATTGGACTGGAAAAGAGCAGGGAGGGGGTTACATTGTCCAAAAAGAAATGTACTCATTAACTGTAACCCCTTTATGGCAACAAAAAACGTTTTTAAAAAAAGTTTAAATTTTGGTGATCCATAATTGTTTAAATGTCTGTTTACAACAGTTTGATTTAATGCTATTTGAAGAGTCATACTTTTAAGTACTTCAGAGGAAATAGTATGTATTTTACTAACAGTGAAATTCTTTTTTTTTTTTTTTTTTGGGTCCGGTTGTGGGGCCTGAACTCTGGGCCTGGGCGCTGTCCCTCAGCTCTTCAGCTCAAGGCTAACGCTCTACCACTTGAGCCACAGCGCCACTTCCGGCTTTTTTCTTTTTGCTTATGTGGTGCTGAGGAATCGAACCCAGGGCCTTGAGCATGCAAGGCAAGCGCTCTACCACTGAGCCACCTTCCCAGCCCCAACAGTGAAATTCTTTGTGGACTAAGCACATGAAACAGCAACTAGTTTTCCCCTTCCCTTTATTGTTTCTAAGACCTAAAATAAAAAAATAACTAAATCTGTAAATAACCATTAACTGAACCATACTGGGCTTAAGAGGATGGCTATGGATTTTGAAATCCACAGGTAAGGAACACTTACCTCATGTACCTTGCCTTAAGACAAGTTTCTTTTATTCCTGTAGCCTACATCTCCTGAATGAGTACTACAAAATAATAGTGAGGGCTAGGAATGTGACTTAGTGGTACCGAGCATGCATGTAGCCCTGGGTTCGATTCCTCAGCCTGTGGCTCAAGTGACAGAGTGCTAGCCTTGAACAAAAATTTGGGGACAGTGCCCAGCCCCTTAGTTCAAGCCCAGGACTGGCAAAAAAATTTTTTTAAATAGTAATTCTCAGCCCAGTGCTGGTAGCTCACGCCTGACATCCTAGCTACTCAGGAGGCTGAGATCTCAGAATCATGGTTCAAGCCAACCGGGGCAGTAAAGTCCATGAGACTCTTATCTCCAATAAACCACTCAGAAAACCAGAAGTAGCCCTGTGGCTCAAGTGATAGAGTGCTAGCCTTGAGCTGAAGAGCTGAAGGACAGAACCCAGGCCCAGAGTTCAAGCCCCATGACCGACCCCTCCCCCCCCCAAAAAAAAAGTGATTCTCACATTTTTGGTCTTTAGACCCCTTGATACTAGTTAAGGTTAAGTACTCCCAAAGAGCTTTTCTTTTTTTAAATTAAATTTAAATCAATTTTCACTAGTATTTAAAAGTATTAAAATCATTCATATTTATAGATACATATGGTGTTTTGATACTTGTATATTAGAAGACTAAACATACCTGTCTCCTAAGGTATTTTGTTGTTGTTGGTCATGGGGCTTGAACTCTGTGTCTGGGCGCTGTCCCTCAGCTCTTCAGCTCAAGGCTAGCACTCTACCACTTGAGCCACAGCACCACTTCCGGTTTTCTGGTGGTTAATTGGAGATAAGAGTCTCACAGACTTTCCTGCTTGGGCTGACTTTGAACTGTGATCCCCAGATGTCAGCCTACTGAGTAGCTAGGATTACAGATGTGAGTTGCCAACAGCAGGCTATTTTATAATTGTTTTATAATAAAAAACATTCAGAAATCTTTTCTCTAATTTGTTAAAATAATAAAATACATAGCACATTATCACACCAGAACATTATTTAGGGCACACCTTTTATATACTACCACACTAGAACATTTTACTCCTGTCTGTCTTGTACCTGTTGCTCAACCATTCCCCACCCATTTTATATTCCTACTCTTCCAAGCCTCTGGTAGTCTATTCTACTCTCAACTCTGAGATCAGCAACAGTTTTAGATTTTGAATGCAAGTGAGGAGTTCATGTGGTATTTGTCTTTCTGTACCTGGTTCAGTTCCATCTATGTGATTGAAAATGACAAGCCACTTACCCTTGAATCTTAGAAAATGATATTTATCTGTCATTTCTTTCTTTTGTGAACAGAAGTGGTTGAACAACCCCAAAATGAATCTTTTGTCAAGAAATGGCGGTGGTGGCTACTTTGTGCAGTAGTTGTTCTTGCCTTTTGGATGTTTCCATTCATTCATACTCCTGAGGTAAAAACCACTGCTGCTCAAGAATTCCAAAACCAGATGAACCAACTTATGACTAAGTATCAAGGTCAAGATGAGAAGCTGTGGAAAAGAAGTGTAACGTTCCTGCAAAAACATCTTAACAGCTCCCATCCTCGGCCTCAGCCTGCGATCTTGCTTCTCACAGCTGCCCAAGATGCGGAAGAAGCACTTAAGTGTCTGAGTGAACAAATTGCTGATGCCTATTCTTCCTTCCGTAGTGTCCGCGCCATTCGAATTGATGGAACAGGCAAAGCTACTCAGGACAGTGATGTTGTCAAACTAGAAGTAGATCGGGAACTGACCAATGGATTTAGAAATGGCCAGAATGCAGCTGTGGTACACCGCTTTGAGTCGTTGCCTGCAGGCTCTGCTCTGATCTTCTACAAATATTGTGACCACGAAAATGCAGCCTTCAAAGATGTAGCCTTAGTCCTAACTGTCTTGTTAGAAGACAAAACACTTGGAACCAGCCTAGGCCTAAAAGAAATTGAAGAAAAAGTGAGAGATTTCCTCAAAGTCAAGTTCATCGATTCTAGCACACCCAGCTCCTACAATCATATGGACCTGGACAAATTGAATGGGCTCTGGAGCCGTATTTCTCACTTAGTTCTGCCTGTGCAACCTGAAAATGCTCTGAAAAGAGGTATCTGCTTATAAGGGAGAAAAGGAGAGAAAAATCATGTCTCAGGTTCTGAGAATTTTTTACACTTTCTAACTACAGACAGAATTCGCAGCATTTTTTTTTTTGAGAACTAGTTTCTTTGTACAGAAACTAAATCATTTATTCAACCTAATTGTCTGTAATGAGAGAATTATTTCTCTGTTTCTATTAAGAGCTATGTTAAGGGTACTTAGGAGAGTGTAAATTATATACAATCCCATAGAGGATCTATTTTGATTCTGGGCTGAATCATTCTTGGTTTGATGTAACCAGTGAAAAAGATTAAGCTCCTTTCTTCTGAATCATCCCTATTTTTTAGATTTTTTTATTAGTAAGGCAGCTTCCTCATTGTAACCATAGGTTTTCTTCTATACCATTTAAGTATTGTATTAGCAGCTCTGCTATAGGAACAAAAGTAATGAAAGGTTATCTTGAATGTGTGTTTAGTTTTTTTTTCCTTTGTTTTTGGAGGGTGGAGAGGAGGAAAAAAGAGAAATTGTAGAATTGGAAAGGAAAAAGGAAAAATATATTTTCCAAGATAAAATGTTACAATAAGCAACTGAGTGGTAAGTTAGTCAAAATATCTATCTGAACTGTTACTGTGGTAAATTCTGTAAGGATCTTTTTGTTTTCCTTTAAGAAAGTCTTCATCATCCCAGGGGGGTTTAAAACCTATCTATGGTAAGATTTAATGTATTTCCTGATTTGTCTCTTAAAACAGGTAAATTCAGTTTACTTTGTATATAACCTAAAGTTACTATTTTAAAGAAATACATTCTCATATTGATAAGCCATTTTTTAGCTATCCTGAGCTAATTTTCTACTTGCTCACTTGTTACAGTCTGATTTGATTGTGGTTTTGGTTTTGACACTCCATAACAAATATAAAGACTAACTATGCACATGATAAATTTCATTAAGAGTGCCTCAAGCCAAAAAGAGAGCAAACTTTACCACATACATAGAGTGTTAGTTGTATTTTTGTACTCCTATAGTATTTTAGTTGTGACTTTGCATCTATAGTGAACCTTCTGCCTGCTACTTGCTTTGATTTGCTTTATTCTATGTAGCACAATGGTCAAGCACTTGAATAGCATGCATGAGCTCAATCCATAACGGATTCACTCTGTTTTTGTTTTTGTTTTTTTAAATTGTGTCTATAGGCATTTAAATGAAAATACTGTTTTAGAGTATTAGAGCCAGTCATTGGCTTCACAAGTTACCCTCTGAGGGTCTTAGAACTAGTGGTAGAAATTTCCTACCACTAAAGTTACCAATATTCATAAATGTATGCCCTTTATTGTTTTGTTCCTACCAGAACTCAGATCATCTGATTTATAAAGGATTGTAAAACAGTTGTTTTGAAGAAGCTTATTTTGTACATGCATATTATATGGAAAATGAAATGTTCTATTAAGTGTTTCACTGACCTAAATAATTTTAAAGTAATATCTTATATCTTTCAAAAAATAATTGTAGCAATTGATGTGTAAAGACTTTAAAAGCTATTTTAGTAATTTAAATAAATTTACCTTTTGATTTGTACTCTTGTAAATTTATTTATAACCCTTTTTTTTTCTTTAATTAGTTCAAATGTTTCCTTTACACTTGAACAATGTTAATGTCTTTAGCTAGGAGAAATAGGCCAAAGAATGGGAGCCATTTACAAGTGCATTCTTTCCTTTCATGCATTTTTTTTATTACTATAAAGGTGATGTACAGAGGGTTTACAGTTACATAAGTCAGATTAAGAGTATATTTCCAAGGGATAGTAAGGGGAAACAAAGGAGGAGGCAACAATGCTTGATAAGAAATGTACTCATTACCTTGCCCAGGTAATTGTAACTCCTCTGTACGGTATTTTCACAATAAAAAGAAAGAAAAAAAGATGGAATATTAAAAAAAAGTATATTTCCTTTTAAACAATGTCACTCCTTCCCTTGCTCTCTCCTAGTTTTTCCCTCCCATCCTCACCCACAACTTGTATAGTTCATTTTCAACATAGTGTCTAGTAAGTACCATTGCTTTAGAATTATCTTTCAAGTGGAGTTATTCTGGGTATTTGTGACTTCTTCAATAGGCTTTTGATAACTATCATTCCCTTCATGGGGGGAGGGCATTAATTGTGGATTTCCAGCTTTTTGATACGAGTCTCAGAGGCTTTCCTGCCCAGGGTGGCTTCAAACTTTGATCCTCAGATCTCAGCCTCCTGAGTAGCTAGGATTATAGCCATAAACTACAGGAACCCAGCCCACAAATCCTCTTTAGATTTCTTTTTCCTAATCCCACTTCACATAAAATGTTAATACCATGTATAAATACCATATATACACTTTATACGTGGCATACATTTACAGACTATTTTTTCTGCTTCATACTATATTTTATGCTATATAGTATATATTATATAGTATATAGTTGTATATAGTATATAGTACTATATAGTATATACTATAGAGTATACTACACATAAGTATACTATATAGTCGTAATATCCTACATATATAGTAGTATACTATCTGTGGTATACTATATAGTATATTATGTATTTTTGTATACTATGTATTTTTTGCTTTATTATATATATATAGTACTATATATATATAGTATATATATAGTACTATATATATGCAGTATGAAGCAGGAAAAAAATAGATGTATATATTGCCCCTCATGAACCAATTTTCACTCCGATTGAGAGTGAATGCTCAAGAATGTCTATTTTAGAGGATTGTTACTCCATGGTATAGCACTTGGCTATGATGCACAAGGAACTGGCCCAGTTCAATCCTCAGAATCACAATGGTCGGTTCAATCCTCAGAATCACAATGGTAATAGTAATATTTGATAGGTATGGTGGCCAGGCTGGTAATCTCAATACTTAAGAGGTTGAGGACACCCTGAGCTACATAGCCAGGCTCTCAAAAAACCAAAGACTAGAGTCTGGGGAATGTGGCTTAGTGGTAGAGTGCTTGCTTAGCATGCATGATGCCCTGGGTTCGATACCTAAATAGTACTATATAAACAGAAAAAGCCAGAAGGGATGCTATGGCTCAAGTGGTAGAGCACTAGCCTTGAGCAAGGACAGTGCCTAGTCCCTGAGTTCTAGCCCCAGGACCCACAAGAAAAAAATATAAAGACTATAGATGTAGCTCAGTAATAAAACACTTAAGAATTTATGCAAGGCTCTAGGTTCTATCTGCAGCACCACAAAAAAAATTTTTTTTTACAAATTTAAATAGTAACTACCTAAAATTCTGTTTATGTTTTGTAATCTTTTTAGAAGGAAAAACTTAGTAAGTCATCAACCTGGAAATAGAAATTAGTCCCTAGAAATGAAGCACATTATAACAACCGTGGCACAGAAATTATCACAGTTAACCCTGACCAGTTTTAATATTTGTCGAAACTTGATTTACATCCCTTATTTCAGTGACTGTCTCGTGTTAAGATTTTTAAACCCCAAATCCTTAAAAATTGGAAGTGAATATTTTCACTGACAATAATTGTGACAAGATGAAAGGTTTGCATATTTCATACATTGATGTCTCAAGTTAAAGACATAGGGATCCAGTTCCCTATGATTTTGGGTCTACAGAAAGTAGCCTTTTTGTAAACAGTTCTTATTGTATGGTTTAGCTATATTCTCTTTAGCAAGGTCACAGAGATAAATCTGATGGGTGAGTGTGTAGGGTTTTTCTTTAAGGAAGATTTATTGGCATGTTAACCACCAAAGATAAAGTGAGTACTGACCCTGAAAAACTAAACCGTGAATGCTGCCATAGGGATGCTTAGGAAAATACCCTTCATTGGTTGTATCTTTCTGGCCTGGGTCAGAGAAGACCCTGTGTACTTAGGGACCTTCTGGATAGGAAAGTCTAGCTTGTCACCTGGGCATAAATGAGTAAAAACCTTTTGTGGAATGAACAACTTGAGCTTTCCCAAACACATTGTGCTCTTCTGTATATTCTTAGATTCAGAATACTCTTTTTCTTATCCCTTTCCCTTTCCCCAATCTCATTACTTAGCTAATACCTATTTGCTCTTAAGGCCTTAGTTTTGTTTTGTTTTTTTAGGCAGAACTTAAGTGAAATCATCCCTAAATTTTCCTAAAGAGCTTTCTATGATCACACAAAAGAAGAGGAACCATGCATGAAGTGGCAAGTTACTGGGTTAAGGGACTTGGAGTTTGGAAAAAAGTACCACAAGAGGCAGCACCACACAAAAGCCAAGCACTTGTAGCTCAAGCCTGGAATCCTAGATGCTCAGGAGGCTGGGATCTGAGGACAACGGTTTGAAACCAGCCTGGCAGCAAAGTCTGTTATCTCCAATTAACCATTAAAAAAAAAAAAAGCCAGAGGTGGAGCTATGACTCAAGTGGTAGAGCCATAGCCTTGATCAAAAAAGTTCAGCTAGGCTGGGAAGGTGGCTCAGTGGTAGAGCGCTTGCCTTGCATGCCTGAGGCCCTGGGTTCGATTCCTCAGCACCACATAAGCAAAAAGAAAAAAGCTG